GAGGCTTCGGGGCTTTGTTTTTGATTGAACTCCTTAGTATTCAGACGACACACTTAAGAAACGGGCTGTGGCGAAGGCCACGGGGCGCTGGGAATACTCGGGCAGGCCCCGCGCCGAGGCCGTGCGGAAACCCGTGGTCTTTGCCTACAGCCGTCGAGTCCTTTGCTCAGGACTCCGGGCGGGCGGGAAAAAGTAAAGAGGCCTATTGGCCATCAGCAGAGGGAGTAGTGTCCACCTGACAGCGTGTGCAGCTCAGGTTCCCCACCTCCCAGGGAAGCAGGATCCGGTCCAGAAATAGCTTCATCTTGATGCACCTCTCCCATAGGAGGCTCCGGTTGCCACATTAACAGACCCAGACCAAGAGGATACTTGGTGAGAGTCAAAGACAAGGTAGGTTAAGAGTTTTTGTGGGTTGCACAAGGGCAGCCTTGTTTCTCAAAACTTCAAGTCCTGGAACTTAAAAAAAAAAAAAAAAAAAAAAAACCCACACCTAACACCTAGTGATTGCTGTCCATACGGGCAAGAGAGGAGCCCAGTGCTCCCCTTGACACTGCCCCACGTCAGTGTCCCGATAAAGCCGAGGAGCAGAGGACCACGCCAGGTATTCGTCTCCTGAGACAGGTAGAGACTGTGAGGGCTAAGAAAGGCAGTTTACAGAACATGGATGCCCACACCAGGCAAGTGAAGGTGTCCATCAGATAAATACTCCAACTCTGGAGTCACCAAACAGGTGCCCTGAGGTGCTTTTTAGACGCGTGCGCACACACACACATGCTATTGGTTGCTTGGAATTGACTTCCTTTATTAATTTTTTCCACTAAGTATTTCCATTACTGTTAAACAAACAGGCAACTCTTGGGACTTGAAGACCATCATTAAAGGCTGGCTCTCACTATCAGTATGAATAAATCACAAATACCACAAGACAGCTCATTTCCACAAATATTTATTGAGTGCCTAGATGAGATGGAAGATGACCTGGTCCCTGCTCTCAAGGAGCTTACAACTTCTCACCCCAGTGTTTGACGCGATTTTAAAAACAACTACAACAAGCACTTGCCTGACCAGCAGCAGCACTATATAAGCAACTGTTTTTCACATTATGGGTCACTGTTACAGTAGAAGTATCCAATAAAATTTTAGTCATAGTGAAGGCATGGTAGGTGATGTTCAGTAAATGCAAAGTTATGGCTTGATATCCTCATGTATCTGAGGTCTCCGGTGAAATAAAGGTCAAATCAGATGCGGAACAGCTTTTAGTGAGCTCTGAAGAGCACTAGACTAGTTTGACAAGGTATTAAACTTCCATATTGCTCTTGGCAGGGCAGGAAATAATTTCTGGCAAAAATCTGTGCAATACCAGGGGTTTAGCCAGACGTGCAACATCCAAAAGTATGCATGACCCGTTGATGAATGATCTCCCTGTATGACTCCTAAAGGTCTCTATGCATCATTTACATTTTTGTTTTGTTTGTCTTTTGAGACAGGGTTTCTCTGTGTAGCCTTGGCTATCCTGGAACTCACTCTGTAGACCAGGCTGTCCTGGAACTCACAGAGATCCACCTGCCTCTGCCTCCTGAGTGCTGGGATTAGAAATGTATGCTGCCACTGCCCAGCATGCCACTTACTTTACTATCTTGAGTCACATGAAATTTAAGACATGAAAATGTCTGATTTCACTACATATTTGGGTGCAGGCTTCAAAGGACAAGCAGCATTTGGAAAAGCACCTGGCTTTTCTAGGTTAAAAGGATTCCACTAGTCTCTCGATGGCTGTAAATCCATATAAACTAAGGCTCAGTGGCAGGCACCTCTTCCAGGTGGACCATCCTCCTTGGAGGTCTAATCATGAAACATTTGAGGGGAAAATTATTTTGGTTAAACTAACAATAAACTATAATGGAAAGAAGCCAATATTTATGCCCCATCATTTCCTTCCACCCATTAGATGAAAATGCTTTTGGAATTCACATTTGATGGGTTAACCTTTTACAACTTTTAGTCAGCCAGTAAATAAATAACATTAAGGAAATTAATTTAAAAACCAAGAAAACCCTTGATTTTATCAAAGAGCAAAGACAACATATACCACCTAACACAAATGACAACCCAATGTAGTGACTGGAACAAAATCATCAACTTTCAAAAGAAATCACTGGGTTGGGAATATAGCTCAGTGGTGGAGTCCTCTGGAAGTACAAGGCCCTCATATGCCATTAAAAAAAAAAAAAATCAGTATCTCACACTCCCAGTAGCTGATGAATCTGAAACATGCTGTTTGGTGCACACTAGCACTGGCCTATTGGCCTCCTCTACTGAGAGTCTCCCTTCCCCAGCAGGGGCACATTATCTAAAACTAATGCCTCACCTACAGCCATCCCTTGGAGCTCCTGAGACAGGTATTGTGAGAAGGAAGGGGCAGATCTCCACAGTGGGAGAGTTTACTATTTATGTACATTTTAAAAGGCACTTCCCAGAGGCTGCAGATTCAGACTCACTGACGTTTTTGTTTTTTGTTTTTTTCTAGCTGCAGCATAACCTCAGCACAGAAACAGTTTGCCTCCCTTGGGTAGCAGATGGTCTTTAAGACTGCTACCTTCCCTACTTTTAAGCTAACTTGATTTTTAGTGTTCGTAAGATATGCATTATTAAGGGGAGAGGCAGCTGCAAGAATTTTCCTTGTGCCTTTCTTCATAGTTATGAAGAATAAAATTTCTTTTTCAAATAAGTAATTGATAGTTTAAATCTATTACACACTTCAAAAACCAAAGCATATGCTTTCTGAGAAGCACAGAAGATGTTTTGATGGAACTTAATGCCTTTTTTGGAATAAGCCAATTATAGGCACCTAAGAAGATAACTCCTTGGCAAGATAAAGCTACCACCTCTTCTGAAGTGGCAATTTCCTGCTTCTTGAGAATGTAGTAGACTGTACAATAAAAGGAGGGAACAATGAGATATACAAAAACACTGTTAGCTTGTTCAAGTTGTCTTGTTTTTTGGCGCTGGGACAGAACCTGTGCCCTCACATGCAAGGCAAGACTCCACCACTGGACATATTATACTCCCAGCTTGTTAGTTCTGCATATCAATACAGGGCATCTTAAAAAATAGTCTATCCCCTTGTAAGCTCTAGACACAAGTTGTACAGGAACTTGATTAAAATGAACCTTGCTTTTCTGTAACATAATTTTTAAAAGGCAAAAAGAAAAATCAAGAATAAAGGCACTTGCTTCTAATGATAAGAAATCCTGATTAAGTCTTCATCTGGTTACTGAAATGTGAATGTAAAGGTTCAGTCCTATCCCAAGGGTCTCCTCCTACCTAGGAGTCCCCACAAGTAGGACAGGGCCCAGACCTATTGCCAGGTAAAGCTTTGGTGAGAAAATGTTCAGAGACCACCTGAAATCCTGCTGAGGCATACACACCTTAATGGAACTGCTGGGATGTATTAGTTTGTTGTAAAAAAATATGAAGAGCTATGTACACAGAACAAACTCAAAGGCAAACCAAAATCAAAACCCTGAGCCACTAGCCCTGGAAATCAACCAGGAGAGCTCAGATGAGTCTATTGCAGATTCCAATCTCAAATACATGGCTGTTGGGTTCAGAGTGGTCACCAGAAAATGAGTGGGTGAGCAGTGCAGACATACCAACAGTCCCAACAGAAACAGGTTACTTGCTGCTCCTAGATCAGAACAGCTTCTCCTGCCCACATAGTGCTCTTAGACAGAGCTAGGGAATGTCACCCATGTGGTAGGCTATAGTCTGCAGCAGGGCTCTGGGAAAGACACCAGGCTCTATCTGGACACATCCCCTGTCCTTTATCAGGTAGAGTAGAGTGGTCTGAGCCTAGACCAACAGTTATTATAGCAGCTACTATGCAAGTATTTTTCTTTTTGGCAAGGGTGGAATGGTAGGTCAGGTGAGGTTAAGAAGGTGAAAATAGGGGGATGATGACTTTGGGAGCGAAAGCTTTTTATGCTTCACAGAAATTGGAGCTACCCTGGAAACTGTCCAAGTTATAACACAACTTAAACCCTGATGATAGGCAGAAAACTCCAGCTTTCCACTGCTGCTTTCCATCTCTAGTTGTTTTCTTCCCTTACCAATACAAATATTTTAGGGAAATCAAACAAGTTGAACTTGTGTAGCTTTTAAACTCTCTAATGCTCAAGTCTTACTAATTTTTCATGTTTAATTACTTATTGGGGTGTGAACATGCCGAAGTGTATATGTAGAGGTCAGAAGACAACTTGTGGGAGTCATTTCTCCTTTCTCACAAGGCTTGGTGGCAAGCACTTTTGCCTGCTGAGCTCTCTTGCTGGCCTAATTGTTCTACTATTCACTACAAGGCATATGTTTCACATAGGAATTGTGCTATCACTTCTAAAAAGCTTCTACAGAATTTAAATGCAAAATATACTATTTTTTAATATTCAGCGTGTTAGTCTATCCTTATGGAAGCTGTTAAGTATTAATTTTAAAAAATGAATTATATTTACAATGTAGAACACATTTATAAAATTGGTGTGCAAAGTTCATTGTAAAAGGATAACACTATTTCCTTAGCAACAAGCCACCTCCTGTTTACATTTCCTTATTGTTGATAGAAATTGAAGACATACTCTATTTAAAAATAATGCTTTTTAAATAGTAAAATATACAAGAGGTTCCTGAGCATAACAAAAATATCTTGAAAATATGTGGCCATTTGAAGTATAAAATAGCAAGTGTAAGAATAACATGACTGTAAAACTACTGTTTGAAGTCTTATAAACAGTACAAAAGAGCTTGCCTTTTCTGAGTGCATAACTGTACATCAGTGCAAACAAAGGTGTCTTAACTTTAATGGCTACCAATCTCAAAGGTTTGCAGAGCTGCGCAAGACATGAAACTTCTTGAGTGTCATTCGAACTGAACCCAGTTCACGGTTGATCCTTTCCAAACGGTCTTCCAAGGCTTCCTAGGTAAGAGTAATGGGAAAGGTGTCGTGAGAATCCACACCCAGGCCTCCTGGTCTGCAGCCAGCTACAGACCTTTGGGGTGCAGCATGAGAGAAAGCACAAACATCAAGATGGCAGACTTCATTTTCCACATAAATCATCCTATTGACACTATTTTCCTTTTTGTTTGTTTCGAGACAGGATTTCTCTGTGTATTCCTAGCTGTTCTGGAACTCACTCTGTAGACCAGGCTGACCTCAAACTCACAGAGATCCCCCTGCCTCTGCCTCCCGAGTGCTGGGATTAAAAGCGTGAGCCACCACCTCCTGGCCAACATTATTACACTGAACAATGAATCGGCTTCTCAACCCTTCTAAATAAGCAGGGCACTTTAAGTATCCTGGGTCTGTTGGGCACTCTTGGCATGTGAGAATTCTGCACAGCAGTGTAGTCATAAGTGGTGGTGGTGGTGATGACCTGAGGTCACTATTTTAGAGCCTAAATGTGCTATACACAGGTCACCAAAGAAATGTGCATATTGGATCAGCTGTAGACATGTATACATATTCCAAATTACCTGACAAAAACTTCTCCCTTAAAAACATTATCAGAGGGGACTGGAGAGATGGCTCAGAGGTTAAGAACACTGGCTGCTCTTCCAGGGGTCCTGAGTTCAATTCCCAGCAACCACATGGTGGCTCACAACCATCTACAATGAGATCTGGTGCCCCCTTCTGGCCTGTAAGCAGACATGCAGGCAGAACACTGGACACATAATAAATAATTTTAAAAAATTATCAGAGCTGGGCATGATGGCTCAGCACAGGCCTTTAATCCCAGCATTCAGGAGGCAAAGGCAAGTGGATTGTGAGTTTGATGCCAGTCTGATCTAAATTCCAGGACAATCAGAGCTACACAGAAAAACCCTGTCTCAAACAAACAAACAAACAAACAAAAAAAGACACCAGGCAGTGGTGATGCACGCCTTTAATCCCAGCACTCGTGAGGCAGAGGCAGGCGGATCTCTGTGAGTTCGAGACCAGCCTGGTCTACAAGAGCTAGTTCCAGG